GGATGGATAGATGGATAGGTAGATGGATGGATAGACGGATGGATAGATGGTTGGTTGGATAGACAGATAGATGGATAGATAGATGAATGTATATATAGATAGATAGATAGATAGATAGATAGATAGATAGATAGATAGATAGATACACCCACAGATAGATAGACATAAATAAATAGATAGATGGATAGACAGATAGATGCACCTATAGATAGATGGATGGACAGACAGACAGACAGACAGGCAGATGGATATACTATATACTCAAATAGTATATAGTTTTGACTAGTTTTGAAAATCCTTCTCTTATGCTTACCAGGGCTAAATATATTTATTAAAAAACAAAAGATTAACATTATTAAATAATACATTTAATTATCCTTTATAAAATTATTCTACAATTTTATTTATTCCTGCTGTCCTCAATGTGACACAAATGAAAGCGTCACTTTCAGAAATGAATACTTGTGTTGTAATACTCTGCTGTAACGTCTATTTCTGTATTTTTCCCCAAACAAAATCATACATTTTATATTACAATAAATCATATAATAAATCATCCAAATATACAAAACATGTATATTAGAGATGCACAATACATTGGTTTTCTGCAGTTAGGCTTTCAAAATAAAATAAAAATGTCACTGTCATTTGTGATCAAATTTATATTATGTATAAGATGCTAATAATATTTTTTGTAACCGAACTACAAAGATTCACCCGATCATATGAATCACCCTATTTATACTTCTATATTGTATATATTCATTCATGTTGGTTTCTGCCCTCCTTTCTTTTTCTCTCTCTCTCTCTCTCTGTGTGTGTGTGTGTGTGTGTGTGTGTGTGTGTGTGTGTGTGTGTGTGTGTGTGTGTGTGTGTGTGTGTGTGTGTGTGTGTGTGTGTTTTTGTGACATATCGGGACACAAATCTGTATAATGACATAGGTATGACACAGGTATTATAAAAAGGAGGTGAAATATGAGGACATTGGTGACGTCCTTGTTTCTCAAAATGCTTATACATCCTACAGAATGAGTTTAATCAGAGAGTAAAGCTGCACACAGTCTCATGTGATGGTTGGGTTTAGGGGTGGGGTGGGGGCAATATAATATGCGGTTTGGACAGTATAAAATGAATAGTACCCTATGTAATGTCCCCACTTTTCACAAAAACAAACATGTGTTTGCGCGTGCGTGCACGTGTGTGCATGTATGCGCTTGAGCGTGTGTTTGTGAGAGCGTGTGTGTGTGTGTGTGTGTGTGTGTGTGTGTGTGTGTGTGTGTGTGTGTGAGCGTGTGTGTGTCTGAGAGCGTGTGAGAGACCTGGGACTGCCAGTAGACAGAATTGCAGTAGAGCTCAAGAGCTCCTCATAGAGATCGGCTCCAGAGATGGGATAAGCAGTGTACTGAGCCAAAAGCACACGCCGGACAGCTACTAGAGCCTGAAAGATGACACAAACACACACACTATTTAGTTAACCCTGTTTAGTTCCACCGACTTTGTGAAGAATCGTCGTAAATAAAGGTGAGGCCCGATTAGGCATTAGCTGAAGTATGGAAACTGTCAGACTGAAAATACAAAAGTAATTTCACAAACCTTGTAAGACAACGAACACTTTTGCGCAAGTTCTTCCGGATTCCATGAGACAAAGTCTTCAACTGTTAAAATCAAACATTATTATTAGTAGTATAGTATTATTATTATTGTTATTATTATAAGACTATGAGCAAAGTACCTTACTGAAGTAAAGTGTAGTAATCCCTGTGTAGTGTTTAGATCGTAATAATGGATAGTCTTGTCTTTATGTTGCTCAAAAATCATACTTTTGTTGGGGACAAAACACACTGTGAAATTCTGTTAAATAATCATACTTGGTGTAATTACTGACTACATACAGCAAATAAATTATTTATCTGCTAAAAACGTTAAGGAATTACTTTATATTTTAGGTCATTGAATTAGTTATAATGTACTTGGCTTAAATACTGAACATACATTCAACACTATAAATCAATTCAGAGAAGCAGAGTAAATGTATTTGTGCTATACTAATATATTTTTCATAATTCTATTTTTCCAATTAAACAGGGTGACATTTATTAAGAAAATTGCACATTCTTAAGAAAAAAGGTCATGATAATGTATGGTATAAATTTAGATGAAAAGAAATGCTAAAGAAACAATCTGAGTAAGATACTAGGGCTGGGTGATTTGGCCTAAAATCAAAATCACGTCAAATTAGCCAGATATCACGATTAATTGAACATTTTAACTCTATTACAATTAATGAACGATTATTTTATTTATTTAATTTCTTTTGCCCTCACAGTTCACTTATAAATTTTGTGCAATACTTGATTTTAAAATAATTGAAGAAAACACACCATCTACCATCTATGATTATTTATTAAACATTAACGTTGAAGAACTGAAATTAAATACACATTAACTAAAACCAAGTCACTTTTTAACTTCTAAAAAGGTGAAAACAAATAACTTGCACAATTTGGAAACAGAGTTTATTATTTTCACTTTTTTCAAAAGTAGAAAATATCATTTTCAATGTAAATAATTTGATTGTAATAGGAAATATGCCGTCTCAAGGCATATCTGGCGCAGCTTCCAACCATTGTCAATGTAATTCAAACATGCAACATGTAGTTACATTTTTAGAGAGGTGCATGGGTAATCAACTGCATGAAGGCTGTGCTGGACCATACCCGTGCATTCGATGCAGAAGTATAAATTAGCCTTTACAGCGTGGGGTCACATAACTCCACATGCTGTAAGGAAAGTAATTGAAAAATTGCAGAGGAAATTTTTTTTAATGTTGATTACGATAACTTTTCGATTAATCGCCCAGCCCTATAGGAAAATCATGTCCTAATCAATGTTTCAAGATTTAATATATACATTTAACTTTTATATATTTTTATTGAAGCTAAAAGGCCATGTTCAAGTCAAATATAAAGAATTATGTGTATTTTCTATTGCCTATGTGTTTTTTAGGGATTTCAGTAGTATTGAATTAAGTTGATCAATTACTTCTCAGACAAAGTTATTTAAATACATTTTAATTTTGTGATTACTTACTGAATTAAAAAAAAGTAACTTACCCAACCTTAAAAAAAATTAATAAAAAAAATAAGTAAAAAAATAAAAATAAAAAAATCACAAAAATCACACATTAAATGAGAAATGTCCATGCAAAAAAAAAAAAAAAAAAAGTCTGTACATTAATCCATGATGCCCCGCGAGAGAATTTATGAATAGGAGTGAAGCAACTCAACTCACGTGGGTAGGTCACACGATCATGACAAAATGGCAGATGTAGTATGTCTGAGTTCCATTCATATTGTTTACATTCATACTGTATAGAGCGCACTTTTCTAACGGCCAAGTAGTACGTTTAAATTCAAATGCAGTACCTACTGAGTAGTAGGCAGTGTCGGACAGCCAGAATCCTAAAATATTTTATTGATGTGTTTTTTTATTTTTTTTTTTATGTAATTGTAGGTGTATGTTATACAGTGAATCTAATCTAATAAAAAAAGAAAGAAAGAAAAAAAATAGTTTTGAAAGAGATCAAGCCTAAGCCAGGTAATAAAAGGTAACGCAAAAGTAACTTAAAAGTAACGTGACGCATTACTTACCCTTAAAAGTAACGAAGTAAGGCAACTAGTTACTTTTTTGGGAGAGTAACAAAATATTGTAATGCATTACTTTCAAAAGTAATTTTCTCAAACACTGACTGTTCTAGGTACGTTAGCACCAGGGGTGTAGTCGGGGCTATACGCACGTATATTTTGTATGTCGACCTTTTTCCACGAGCCATTTGGGTATTACAACTTCCGAGGATCAATAATTGCGTATACCCTCAGTATACTCACTCGTTTTGCTGAGTAAGCTTTCCTAATTTATGTGTATTCGCTTTCCCTTTAACTGTATACCAAATGTTTTTTAAACCCGCATCTAAATTTGTTGCAATTGGCGCATTTTTAACTTGTGTCACTACTAGCGAAGCATAAATCATTGAGTAGGATAAGACTATTAGCATCTCACTTAAAAATAAAAAAATTGGTTGAAATATTTTTTCTTTTTAAATGGATAGGTTACCCAAAACATTAAAATTGTCAATATTTTATTTCAACCTTTACTTGTTCCAAACCGGTCAGTCTTTTTTTTTTTTTTTTTCAATCTGTTGAACATAAAATAAAATATTTTGAAGAAAGCTGGAAACCTGTAACCATTGACTTCCATAGTATTTGTTTTTTCTTCTGTGGAAGTCATTAGTTACAGGTAACTGATGTTAAATTGCTAATGATCAATTAAACATTTACTTTAATCGTTTCTTTGTCTGCTTTTAAAATTTGGGTCGGGTGGGTAATAGTACACCACCCTTTTTATAGGACTATACAACTGGTTAGGACCCATAAAACAACAGCAGAACTACTATAGTAAGTTATTCTTATAACTGCATTAGAATAATGGCATTATCTAGAACCACGTGTTCCTATAAACGTGATCTTCAAAATCAACACCTGTTCTGATATCCTCCGTCTGTAAAGCCTTAATAAAGTCCTCATTTATTCCAGGGCAGATTCCTTCCCTCAAGACCACCATGACTCCCTGGACAGAGATTGAGAACACAACCAATAACGTTAGCTGTGTTATCAAAAGGAGCTAATAACAACGCTACGTTAAACATCTTAAAAACAACAACGAATCTACTCACCAGATTGCTAGAAAGCCCATCAGCACACACTTATCTTGAGGTCCTCTGGGTGTCTTTTCATCCTGAGAATCATTTTCAAGACTTCATATTAGCGCCCGCCACATTTTCAACACCAGCCGAGCGATCAGCGTATTTTGACAGAAGTATTATCCAATCACAGCCTTTGTAATGTTGCATAAGCCAATGGCATGCTTAGCGCTGTGGTAAGACCCGCCCCGCGTGATCGAGGCGTGCGTCGAGAAGTGAAAGTAACGCGATTGGTTCTTCTGGTTTCCAAACACAGAAGGCATCCACAGTCAGCTTCCGTCAACCAGCAGCCCGCTTCCCAGTTGCAAGGCCACACAAAAACCGTGTTTCGAGATTATTATAACGTACTTGCAAATAATGGGAAGGAGTGTCGTGGACTCCTACATCGCTGTCAGCTGTTTGTTTGTCGCTCAGGCCCGCTAGCCTTCGAGTCTGTTAGCGTTAGCCGCCTGCAGCTGTCGTGCGCACTCGCGGAGCCAAAATGGTGAGTTTGAGATTTCCAGCTTGTTTCAAGAACAACTCTTAACAGGTCATATTTGTGTGGTTACATGATAACAGATAAACACAATGGGTGTTACAAGACTCATAGTTTGTTTTTGTGTGTGTGTGTGAATTTTGTAGAGAGACATGTAACTGTTAGTTCAGAATGGAGCTCGTAGCTAACACAAGGAGCTAGACGTCGGACTTGTGTCAAAACCTATTGGGCTTTCTTCCTTTACTCCATTTACGGGTGTCACAATACTTGTCAGTGATGTCCTAAGGATACCGTTTTGATTGGTAGCTCACTGATATTTAGCACTGAGCCGTCGTGTAGATTTGATAGTCTGATATGTGCCGCAGACTGTGACTAAGGGTCGAGAGATCGAGGCCATCAGCAGCGACTGCAGTCTGGGAACAAATATGACACACGCCAAGGGAACATCGCTGAGTGTACTTGTCAGCCCCTGTGCTGTCTGCAAAGTTGTGATGGAATGGTAGGGAAATTAGCAGTGGTGATTCCTGTTTCTTTCGGCTGTGCCAATCAGGTTTGTTTACATCGTATGAGGGAGAGATATTTTGTGTGTAAAAAATGCTATCGTCATTATATGTACTTGTCTCTCATCTGTCTGTTGTAAATTCTTAAGTGTATTTGTCATCAGAAGAACAAGTGTATAACTTTAGCAAATCAGAAATAACATTACTGTAATTGTTTACCCATGACAGTTTGAGGTGGCATGTGAGCAATTCTGTAGTTGATCACAGCCATGTTAAATAAAAATAACTCTTATTTCATTTGTATTCTTTTTTATTATTGTTTTTATCTGGTGAAAATGTATTCATATCGCAAAATAACAAAATACCGCTATGTTCGATTTTTTTCGAATATCAGTGCAACCCTGCTTTCAGACATGAAGGGTCTGTTCTTTGTATGTGGACTACTCAGTTGGCTGGATTTGGTTATTGACAGTTTGACACGATCCAGGATCATTTTATTCTTAAAGAATAAATCCTTTTATCTTAAAGTTGTTGTCATAGCAACAGTTCTGGTAGCTCAAACCTGCTCGGGAGCTGGCTTATTTTACATAAACATGATTAGATCGGGTCATTTCAAGCAAAGGTAATCATGAAAGTATGTACCGAATGCTAATATTTTCTTACAGTATAGTAGTTATTTACACTTGGCAAAAAAGTAAAAAAAAAAAAAAAAGCATGTATATTTTAGTTTAAAATACGCATATACTTAAAAATGTATAAAATAATAAAAATAAAACTGAGTTAAGTCAAAGTTTTTAAAGCCGTAAAAATTCTGATATATCGTTCCATGGTTTCCGCTACATTCATTCTTCTGTGGCGGGGCGCCACACCAAAATTTATCCCGCCACAGCTACATTACAACATCTCATTCAAAACGTTCAGTCGTGTATTTTTGAATAGCGGGTTATAATCGCACCAAAACGTATTAACAGGTAAGTGAATTATAACAGCGTGAACTTTTCTGTACCGTACAGAAACCGTACTGTGTTATTTGTTTAACCCTTAATGGTTACGTGCTGACTGACTGACAGGTGCGTGAAGTGTGAGGCCAGCAAAAACGACGTAGCTTTCAGTTAAATTTACAGTTTCTATAAGTATACTTTATTGATAAAGGTCTAGGGCTCTGCATATTAGTGCCTACCAGCTTTAGTACAGTTTGTGTATGATCATAAACATGCACAATTTTCGACTTTTTTTTTTTTTTACTTAATTAATGCAGTCTTGCACATGTTATAATGGCTAATATGGCAGTGATTTGATGATTCAAAAGTTGCAGGCACCTTTACCGGTATTAAAATGCTTTTTTGATGCAAAATTAATTTAAACTGCCAGTTATTCATTACGCAGATTAAGAAACTTGAATAGGCCTAGCCTACTATAATAAAGAAAATCTGCTCTAATTGTACAACTAAATACATTGCTAAATACACATGAAAGTGTGAAGCCTGCAGCCCACAACAAAGGTGGACAGTTATTGCGTATCGTATCAAAACATTTTCTATGAATTTTACACCACTGGCGCCGACAATTTTATGTAATTTTGCTCGCATGGATGATTGTATATTAATCAGATGATGTCATTATTACGCTGCTTTGCTGTCAGCCAATCACTACTTTGCTTGTCGTGATTTCGAGGATCGATAGATCTGTCCTTCACAACACACGCAGCGATTTCAGATCAGATTATCCAGACATTTTAATCTGATTCGTCAACTTGTTTAAAGAACCAAATTAGCTAGATATCAGTTATCAAGATTAAAAGATTCAGGATCTGTCAAATCATCTTGGATCATTTAGGCGAGGTATGAAGAACAAACCCCAGAATTAATAATACTGTGGAACAGGGGTGTTCAAACTCGACCCTGACCAATTTTAGTTCCAACCCCAACTAGACACGCATTGGCCAGCTAATCCAGCTCTTACTAGGCTTTCTAGAAACAGGACACCAGCCCTCCAGGACAGAGTTTGGACACCCCTGCTGTAGAACAAATTAAAGTCTAGATCAGGGCTGCTTAACCCTGTTCCTGGAGAGCTACCTTAATGCTTGGCTCCAAACCTGACCAACCACACCTAAACCACCTTTATAGAACCTGAACAGCACTTAATAATTACTGTGTTTGATTTGTGTTGTAACTGAAAGCTGCAAGAATGTAGACCCTGGTCTAGATGTATCATATAATGGTGCCATGCTATGCATGTTCACATTCCTCTCGTTTTTAACAAAATGGTTAAATTGGTTCAAAAATTTACTCTAAAATTGTAAAAATTTACTCTAAGAGAATTATTCTCTTTTTCCGGACTACAATGGGGAGATATAAAAATGGGCTGTTGCACTTTTCTATACAGTGGTATATTATATGAACGGTGAATAAAACTGGGGATCAGACAGTGGCCAAGATTAAACTTAAATGAAATTTTGGTCATGTGGTGCATGTTGTATGCTCTAGTTGTTTGTAAGAAAATAATAATGAGCTGACCATTTGTCTTCGTGTGCACTTCCTTGAAAAATGTTGTTACTTCAGGGCTGAAATTCCAGCTGTCACATTGAAGTTACAAGAGCAGTTGATGTAATTTGATGCCTTTTTGTTGTGATAAACACAATAGTTAGTTTATTTATCTATGAAAATGAAGTACATGGAATGTGTTTAGCCACATTTCTGTTTTGTTTTTTGTTTTTTATGAGTAAACTGCATCGGTAATAGTCTAATGCAGGGGTCACCAACATGGTGCCCGTGGGCACCAGGTAGCCCGCCAGGTTCACATGAGTTGCCCGAGGGCCTGTTCTAAAAATAGCTCACCATAGCACCACATATGAGTAAGCTGCATCTAATTTTTTTTTTGTTTTATTATTATTTTTTTAAATAAATATTCTTTTTAAATTACACTTACATTGGTGTAAATTAGAAAATTACTTTAAGTTATACATTAAAAAAAAAACAATTTCAGACAAATGAAGTGTTGCATATTGATATTTATCTAACTTGTTAAATCATTGTTGACAACTACTGTGGGAAATCCTTAACATGATCAATGTCTTCTCATAGATAAATAGTATTAATTATTAATAATAACATATAATTAAAAGTAAATTAAGAAAAATGTGTTATTTAATAACTGGTAGCCCTCCACACTAATCGGTACCCTAGAAGTAGCTCTCAATTTCCAAAAGATTGGTGACCCCTGGTCTTATGAATGTGCATTTGTGCAGTCAATGTCAGTAGAGCTCTGCATGATTCTGGCTAAAATGACAATCATGATTTGTTTTGCTTAAAATCAAGATCACCATTTTCTCATGAGCCTGTAGATGTAAAATAAAGGTTAGTATGAGTAGGTTATTATTGTTATTTCCATATGGTAAAACAACAATAATAATATTGTAAGACCGTTTTTTCACTGGTAAAATGAAACATTTGTCATTATCAGATTCCCTCTCGCATTATATTCAGCATTATACAGGCTAGAGTAGTTTTACTGACACTGTAACATTTATTTATTTTCATGCACAACTCTGTGTTCGATATGAGAAAAAACAACAACTCTAAAATGCGATATGATCATTTAAATGATGTGTGCACCTGACGAGTGCGGTTCATGGCTGTCGTCACTCTGAGAACACAAAAATAAAAACATGCATGCAAATCATACTTCCCACACGGTTCCCCAAACATCACTCATCATGTGAATCAAACTGAAGATTATGTACATCTTTATTACCTGTTATTCTCAGCCTATGCAGGTTCTGTTCACCAAATTAGACATTATTGGCTTGCGTGTGCACACCCTCTTTGTTTACCCTGTAGTAAACAAACATTGCATCAGCTCGTGTGATTTTGTGGCTTCGTACAAGTCATTACGTTCCTGACCTTGAAAATATAATTGGCTGAATCGTAGAAAAGCTAAATTAAGATCGCGTGTAGGGTCGAATAGAGATCGCCATCTTTTTGATTAATCGTGCAGCCCTAAATGTCAGTATTTTCAAATTAAAAATACTTTAAATTAAGGTTATAATTTTTATATATTAATTCTTGTTACTGTTATTATCAACCTATGCACGAGAAGGACAATTTCTCATTTGGTTTAAAAAAGAAAGGTGGCATATGGAATTAGAACAACACCAGGGTGATTAATGATAAATGAGTCATTTTCATTTTGGGTGAACTATCTCTTAAGGCCAGTTCACACCAACAGTGATAACCATAACTTTGAATGATCAAATCAGTTTTTCTATGCTTTCAGTCTAATTTTTATGTTTAATATGCAATTTATTTTAGTTTTGCAATGCATATTGTTGTTTCTCTATATAATCAACAACCTAAAATAAAATAAAATAGTTAATTTCTACATTATAAATATGATTTTTGTTCATGGTGCTTCTTGAAATTATTGTTATTCCCCCAATGAAGCAGTATTGTTCTTTTAAAATTTACTCATGGGGCCCAATCGCTATTCTACCCCTTAGGCCTTCCCCTTAACTTCCCCTTGTACTAATTCTCTTTAGCTTGAAGGTGTAGGGCAAAGACTACGTACCCCTCGAAAGAGAGGTTTTTCAGGACCACACTGGAAACCAAGGGGTAAAAAAACTTTTCCAGAACATACCAGCTACAACGGCAGCATAGCACCCGGAAGTCAGGAGATGCACAAATAAGAATTTTTGTTTGTCATTATTACGAATTTTTACATAAAAACAAGCATATGTTTTAATACATTTATAATTCAATGTAGATTGTGCCAAAGCAGCTTCACATAGAAGGTTTACCATCATGCTTTTAAAAAAAACAACAAAAAAAAAAAAACGGCAAAATAAAAAAACGCTACATTTCGCTATCAGTAATCCTTAATAATAATAACTGTATAGTAGTCCCACAATATTCTGTCACCCGATGACACTCAAAATAGCCTTTCAGAAAAGTCTAGTGGCTGGGAATGGGCTTTTTACAGTGTCTGGTAGGGCTGCACGATTAATCGAAAAAAGATCACAATCTCGATATGACCCTACACACGATCCTAATTAAACTTTTTTTACGATTCAGCCAATTATATTTTCAAGGTCAGGAGAGAAGAAAAGGCGGCCCCACATATCTTCACAGCAACACTGACACCTTCAAATGGCGTTAAAAGTGTCACATACTTTACTTATTTGAAATAATTTTACCCAAAATGTAATTTGTCTTCATGTAATGATGCATTCACGGTCGCGAAATCACACGTGAGCTGACGCACTGTCTGTTTACTGCCGAGAACGTGGGCACGTGCACGCAAATGACGCCTACTTCGGTGAACATACCCTGCATATGCTGTGAATAACAGGTAATGCAGTTGTAAATAATGTTCAATGTTTACTTGTCAGTATAACAACCCTAGCCTATATATAATGGAAATATAAAGGTCTAATAATGTTGACAGATGACAAGCACATGTCTTAAACATAATAAATCAACTTTATAATTATGAAGTTACATTTCTGATGTCATCATTTTACTATGAATTAACAAACAGGACATATTGAAAGTCTTTTCAAGTCCACCATAATACAAAATGTAGCATTTTAAGTAACAGTATACCTACACATAGGCCTAATATTGTTGCTGTTTTACCATGTGTTTGAGAATTTACAATAATAATAGGCTGATCATGTTAACTTTTATTTTACATTTACAGAATCGTGAGAAAAAATTGTGATCTTGATTTTAAGCAAAAAAAAAATGCGATTCTCATTTTTGCCAGAATCGTGCAGCCCTAGTGTCTTTATTGACAGAATTTTCACTTTCTATCTATCACAAAAATCTCTTTCCTTATAGTGACTTAATGTCATTATTTACATAAATTAATCCGATTGTTTTTTGGTGTTTGCTGTTTTTTTTTGTATTTATGAAATTTTTCAGCCAGGTACAAGCTCAGGGTGTTTACTTATCATAGTCTGTCTTAATACTTTTTACTAACTCATTGAGCCTTTGTTTGTTTGAGTTGGTTTATATGTGTGGGTTGTAGAGTTCTTCACTATTCTTGCATCATCTTGAGTTGTTTTCGATGCAGTCTACAGAGATTTATCCCTTTAAACATTCTCAAGCTGCAGTACTTTTTTTGAAAAAAAAAATAAAAAATTAAAACTTTTTTTTATATGATAATTGTCAGAATGTATGTCAGAAGCTAGACAACAAATGCTATTGGAGTTTTGTCTTGTAAATGTGGTAAACTTCACAATTCAGCTATTGTTGTATTAAGTGAAGAGAGGCCAAATGAATGCATAAAACCGAAATATTGAGTTAGAGAGATGGATGCTAGTGTGTGGCATACCTTTGTGCCTTACTGGTGTGTTTGAGAATACGTACCAATTTTTATTAGAACATAATGACAGGAATTAATTGTGAATCTCCTCTTTAGATGCATGCAGTTACTGATCAATGTACAATTTCCGTTTTGTTGCAGGTGTTGTTATTGAATCCACTGGAGAATCTGAAGACCTACATAAGTAACCGTCCTCCGCTGGTCATTTTTATGGTTAGCGTCAGTGCTGTGGCCATCGCTTTCCTCACTATAGGATACTTCTTTAAGATCAAGGAGATCAAATCACCTGAGATGACTGAGGTAGGAAGTAACCCAGAATGTGAGAGAACCATTGAAAATCACAATCACAGAAGTATAGGTATAAAACTAACTTTATATAATATATAAATTCCAAACTGAGTTTTTTTTTTTTTGTTTAAATTATCACATTACTGAATAAAAAATAATCACCTTTTTAAAATTGAGGATTCAGATAAACATTGGATCAGTAATTTTGTGCCTGTAGGAGGCAACAAGTAACTAAAAAAACTATTGTCATTGAATAATATTTTTCAAAAATGCTGATTCATCCAGTAGTGAAACAAGTTAAGGCTTTATAAATGAATTATTCATTCAAACATAAATTTATTTTCAAACAATTCATTTAAATTAATATTTTTAAACAAACTATTAACATTTTGTCGGAAAACATGTTATATGAATAATTTGTTTATTCAGAATTGTGTTTTCTTTTTCTTTTTAAATTTATTTTTATTTCAGTTAATTTTATAATTACGACGAAAACATAAACCATGGAATGTTGACACTGAAACTCAAAATAATATACCATCTGTTTTACATATGGTTCCATTCAAAGGTTTGGAAAGGTATAATTTAAAAAATATATATTTTGTAAGAAGTTTCTGAATGTTCACCAAGCATTTATGTGATCAAAATGCAGTTAAACTGTAATATTGTGATTTATGTTTGTACAATTAAAAATGACTAGTTTTCTATTTTATCATATTTTAAAATGTAATTTATTTCTGTGATGCCAAAGCTGTATTTTCCAGTCTTCAGTGTCACATGATCCTTTATTTTAATGGGACCTCAACAAGGAGTTTTTGAAGAATAGAAACTTTAGAAATGATTAGAAAAAAGCATTTATTTAAGGTAGTTGTATGAAAAGTGTTACATGCACAGTATTACAAAAAATCGGTTTCTTCTGGCAAACAGTGTATGCATTCTTGCTAAATATTAAACTCTTAACTAATCTCAAACTTTCTTTTTTGGTGTTGTATGGAAAACAATATGGGTGACATATTTCTAAACATTTCAAGATACTTCAAAAAATGTTTGTGTTGTTTCAGTATGCACATGAGAATCCCTGGCCATAAATACATAAATATTGTACATGAAAGGCAGGAAATTAGCTTTGTTTCATCATTTTTTTGACCATTGTGTCATTTCTTTTACCCTGTAGGATTGGAACACATTCCTTCTCCGATTCAATGAGATTGACTTTTGCATCTCTGAAAATGAGACGCTCAAGCATGGCTTGAATGAGTCCATCACGCCAGAGAGCACAGTTACCAGCAGCCAGACGCGATCCAGCACCCAGTCGCCACCTCTACTAGAGGACCCGGGTCCCATCAACATCTCTGTGGCCATCACACTGACCCTAGATCCGCTGAGGCCATTCGGTGGCTACTCACGCAATATTACTCACCTTTATGCCAGTGTGCTTGGGCAGCAAGTTGGCCTTGCTGGTATGCATCTATTGTTTTTTGTGTGGGTGTTTGTTGAAAATTTAACTTTGAAGTCAATAGTCACATCACAGGATCTGCAATGTAGAGATGGAATTATAAATAACCAAAAACCAGAGAATGTGCTTTATGGAGGCATTGCATAGTTTAAATGTTTTTTTTGTTTTTTTTGGTTGTTAGTATGGTTTTAGGATATCTATAAGCTAGTGTGCACCAAAACAGTGACAATTTGTGTTTCGAAGATGTAAAACTGATATAAACACACAAAGTTTGTCACTTCCACCCTAATTACGATTTTTAATCATGCCATCTCTTCAGTTTCTCATCAAATCTTGACCAATCAAACGCTCTCTAGTATCAGACATGCCCCGCCCCCTTCAAGACACTTTACATTTGATGCGCTTGAACTCAACCACTCATGCAGAGTGGGGTGAAAACAAGTTTTTTTTTTTTTTAAGAGGAGGGGCTACACTATGTCCCACTCTCTTTCATGTTTTGGTTGAGATTACGTCAAACATAGAATAAAAAATGCACATTTCAAAGCACTTCACAGGACCATAATAGAGGGATTGTCTGCATACTACTAAAGTTTATCATTTGCATTAGGGCTGCACAATATATTTAAAATTTATCGTTATCGCCATGATATTAAATGCAATATACATATCGCAGACATGTATGATAAATTACATTGATTTTATGCATTGGTTGTTTGTCTAAATTTGACCAATCAGATGAGGCCTTGCTCTCTTTATCCCAACCTCCCTAGTAGCTGTTCTGCTATTGGCTGAGGCGGTGAATCCAGAGCTGAAAATAAATACTAAAGATGGGAATCGACCTGAGAGAGAGAAATATCACAACAGCTAATCGGAGTCAGAATGTCTGCTGAGGTTTTCACTCATTTTATAGTGTTTATAGACTAAATGTTTGCACCTTGCACCTTGTTTTTTGGTCTGAATTAGAGTTAATTAGATCTGAAAATATATTTTACCTGTTTGTTGTAATATCATTAAAAATTTATTTTAAGACATAGCTAATAAAAATAGAATTTTCAATGAAATGTTATATTATAAGATATACCATTATTCAATACTCAACAACAGTATTGCCCAGTGTGCATGTGTTTTTAAGGCCGGTGACTGTGAAAATTTGAAAGGGGAGATTAAAGCATTCAACCATAAGAGATTGAAACATTAGTAAATTTAATAGACACATTTTATTGAATTATTTGTACAATTTTACATTTGATTATTCATTATTTGTAGCTGTCTTGAACAAGATTATTAAAGTTAACAAAAACGAACGAAGAAACAAAAACTAAAATTTAAAATCATTGTTGTTAACTGAAATAAAAATAAAAACGTGTTTAAAAAAAATATAAGTAACTGATACTGTATTGTGTGCATACAAAACTTACTGAAACCCACTAAAATTATAGCGGACATGTCCTTCGTTTTCATCTTTATAAATGTATTTAAAACATAATCTTACTGTATGCCTTTTAGAAGTAAATCTATTTACTTTGTGCTGCCAGATGTTTGACCTGTACGGCACCTCAGAGTTTTTGATTTCATTGGCCAGATCAAGCCTCCTGTCAGTCCTTGTTTTTGCTCCTGCGACCAAAAACAACAAGCGGACATGACAGCAGCACGATGACAGCATTAAATACAACCCAAGTAGACAATTAAAAGTATTAATTTAACACGTTTGTGCCAAATAATGGGTTTTATTTCTGTATTAGTGATTAGTTTTATAATATTTATTCTAATGATTTTGAATCTTGCACAGAACAAAGATCCTTTTTTACCAAAAAAACTAAAGCTAATACTGAAACTAAACTAAAACTAAAACTAAACTAAAATCAAGCAATTTCAGAATATAAAAAACTATATATATAAATATATATTATAATAAATCTGTGACTAAAAACGAATTAACACTAAATGAATTTGAAAACAAAACGTCAACACAAAATAAAAACTAAAACTTGTTTAAAAATCCAAAACTATTATAGTCTTGGTCCTGAATGCAGTTTAATGCATAATTCACTCTCCTGCAAGATCACACCAATCAATCTAGATTAAAGAAGTCTTTCCAAATAGAGCTATACAATCCATCTGCTGAAATATTCATATCACAATATATACAGCAAAAAAACTAAATTTTGTGATGTCCCATTTTTTTAATTCTATGCAGCCCTACTTTCAGAACATACCTTAATGCCTTCATTGATTTTGCCTGCTGTTTTTTCCCCCGCTTTATACACTTCTACTATGCACTAAAGTTCCATTGACACTAAAGCATTTTAGTTTTAAAGCGCATATATTGAATTGCGTAAACTGAATTAAATGTTTTGAAAATTGCCGAAGACACTGTTATAGTATTGACGTTCTGAAACAGACCTTTGAAAATGGAGATGTGGCCACTACTGCTCTCTATCTGGTCTTTTAGACTAGGGATGTCCCAATCAGGTTATTTTGCTTTTGAGTCATTTGATTTTGAGCATCTACCAAAACCCGTCCCGATACTTTTATAATACATAAAAAAAGAACAAAGAAGAGGGAAGAAATGTTGGATGTTCCTTCTTTTTTATTTAATTCACCTTATTTTAAAATTCAAGAACTCTGTTAACAAACAGAGCACTACTGCGAGGCAGCTTGAACAATCAAGTAATAAATAACATCAATTTGTTACTTTTGGACTTTAGTGCAACAGTAAATAAAAAAAATAAAAAAATAAAATAAACACAAATAACACCTCAACTTAAAACACCCGGCAGGCAATCCCGAGTTTACATATCTCACAGTTTGCTATGGCAATGTTGTCATCATCAACTTAAAATACTTCCAGACTGCAGACATATGCTCTTCGCTTTAAGCTGCTTCCATGTTTCACTTTGCCGGCATTTAACCAATAGCGTCTCTGCAACAAAGTGATATCATACAGCATGCGTTGCTGTTTCTGTGTGATGTCAAGAAAGAGGTCTTACTCTGCTATCGCATAACTAGAAGTGTGTTAAACAATCAGAATATATATATATATGTGTGTGTGTGTGTGTGTGTATATACAGTATATATATATATATATATATATATATATATATATATATATATATATATATATATATATATATATATATATATATATATATATTCAGAAGAGAAAATATTTTCAGACAAACTGTGAAAATGTCCTTGCTCTCTTAAACATTATTTGGAAAATATTTAAAAAAGATGAAAAAAAATCGAAGGAAGCTAATAATTCTGTCTTCAACTGTATACACACACACACATACACGCGTCCGATTTCGATCAAGTCTGAAACTGCATGATTGGGCCCGATTTCCAATCATGTGATTGGATCTGGACATCCCTATTCTAGACTATTGTGTATTGCTCCCTGATTCGTCAAGCCCCTTGCATATGACCATGACACGAGCGGTAGACCAAGTATGTATGCTGGCAAAATATATGCCCGGTGAATGTCAATAATCATGTTTACTGCATTTTAGTCTGTATAGTGTGGACGAAGATCATTTTTCTGAAACACAGTAAAAGCACTAGTCTGAACAAGGAGCGTTTTCGGTAAACAATCACTGCTCAAAAAAAAAACAGCTTAAACCAGCCTGGGCTGGTTGGCTCGTTTTAGCTGGTCGACCTGCCTGGTTATAGAGGGGTTTGGACCATTTCTAGGCTGGTTTCCAGCGTGGTCTCAAGCTCGAAAATGACCAGTTAAAACCAGCTTGACCAGTCTGGTTGAGGCTGGACCAAGCTGGTTTTAGCTGGTCATCTCCCAGCCTGACCAGCTAAGACCAGGATAGAAATAGCTGGTGGACCAGCCTGAAAATGGCCAAAACCCCTCTAAAACCAGGCTGGTCGACCAGCTTAAACCAGCCAACCAGCTTAGGTTGGTTTAAGCTGTTTTTTTTTCAATAGGGATGGCTAAATGCCACTGAAGGGGATTTTACTTTGCTAATGGAGAAAATATAGTGAGTGTTTAGTCTAGTTTTTAGGTGTATTGATACAGGCCAAATCACATTCAGCGTGGAAAGATCATTGAAACAAGCTTATGTGTCACTAATAAAATCACATGGTGTCTGCAGGGTCTTGATCAATTGATAAATCAATTTAGAGAAATTTTAAGGCCCTTAAAAGTATTAAAAGTCTTAAATGCTATTTTACAAAGTTTTGTATCATTTTTGATTGTAAATGTATTGCTGTATGATAAAGTTTGCCTTAATTAAAGCTGCGAATATTGGGGTGCTGTGTAATCAATGAAATCCTGCTAGATTTTACATTGTGTTGCTTTGTTTACTGTAATAACCAAAGCAAGACCTATAGGTTCTGTAGGTGCCACCTGCTGAATACATATGGGAATTTTGTCCAAAACAATACCCTTCAGACTATTGACTGATGGTGTACAACATATTTTCCAACCAAAAGGCTGTTTGACTGCAGCAGTTGAATAATGACATTGTGTAAAATTCTGAATAAAATTAACCCTCTAAGGAAGTTTCAGCTCTACAGATCTGAGAGAAACACCACTGTTGTGATATTTTTTTTTTCTACGTTTTTGAACGTAGTCCAATTATAACAATGGTCTATTGTCCACCAAGGGATAACAGTGGGAGAGAGGCCGGAGCTGAATACCTTCTAGATATCACTTGCAGGCACATCTAAGCTCCCTTTGTTTAGCAGAACATGCTGACTGTGTGTGGGTGTGTGTTTGTGTCATTAAAGGCAGAGAGGCCCATGAAGAGATGAACATCACTTTCACACTGCCGGTAGCCTGGAACTCGGATGAGTGTGTTCTGCATGGCCGCTGTGAGCAGATGGTCTTCAGCACCTGTATGACCGTCACAGCAGCCAGTAATGTCTTCCCAGTCACAGTGTAAGTTTCTGTACAGACTAGTGTTGTCACGGTGGTAAATCATGGTACATTTCTTGACGGTTAGTAATATTAAATATTAACTTACCTGTAAATGTGTTTTACATAGCAGGTCCCTACTGCAATTTTGTTTTACAGTAAAATGGTCTTACTTCTTGTTATGGTTAAATGCCCTTTGCCACATTTTAATTGTGTATAGGATGACACTTTTTACAGTACTTTTATTTTATCTACATTTCACACTAGCACTACAAAACCTTTATTTTTAATATCTACTATTGATTTTTAATAAATTCCAAACAAGTGACACATTTTTTCATTAACTGTCTGCTTTTTGTCTTTAACTACAATAGCAGTACTTGATTACTTAACACAGTAGTGTTATGCGTTTATGATGTTTAAAAGGGATGCTGTAACAAATGTAATGTGTGCGACAGAACGAGGATGAGGCAGGAATCAATTCAGAATTTAAGCTTTTTAGTGCGTACTTGCACTATGCTATACGAGTGTCCATTTCCCAGATCATTTGAGAAGTGTGAGTGCTCTGAATCGGGCTCAGGCGCGGTTCAATTGGCTGGACCTGGCTCGGTTGGAAGAGGTGTGCCAGAGCGTGGCTCACTTGGGCTTGGGCATCTTAGCCCAAAACTGAAGATGAGACATGACTTTTAAGGGGCTGTTTTATATGGATCTATTAATCATTCTTACTGTTCAATTAACACAAACTGTCGTAGATTATTAAAGACGCAAAACCCCTCACTGCATGACAGCTGCACCTTTAGCAAACCTCCTAATACCTGCAGCACAAGGACTTTAATATTATTTGAGCATCAAAAGTGGCTGATCTGTTCGGCGAAATATTTAACTGCGTATCACTGCATATCAAACGACTTAAACGATAGAACTAATGAAATCTCCACTGTGCTGAGCGAGAGCGCTTCTTAAACTGAACAGCGCATCATCGATGATGTAAGCGTGCTCAGGCCCCTCCCGTCGAGGGAGACAGGGGTCCCCCACAAGCGTGCTTCAGCCCTGTTCAAGGCAACTGTACATAGTGTGAGTACGCCCCTACTCAATGGTTTAAACCAGGGGTGTCCACACTCGGTCCTGGAGGACCAGTGTCCTGAAGAGTTTAGCTCCAACCCTAATCAAACATACCTGAACCAGCTAATCAAGCTCTTACTATACTAGAAACTTCCAGGAACGACTTTGGACGCCCCTGGTTTAAACAAAATATGTAACGGTAATATTGGGAAAAAAGAAATAAACATTTACAATATTCTCTTTAAACAAAAACATTGAGTGTAAGCCAAATCAAAGAAATTAACTAAACAACACAATCCTCAAGTCTAATGTCTAAACTAGGCAACAAAAATAAATAATGAAAATGAAACCTGATATCTTTAGTGTACACGACAGCCGATCTAAACTTGAGACAAGATGACAAAGCACTAATCTAACAGAAACAAGCTAAACTAAAATTAACAAGAATTTAACAAGAACATCATAAGACTTAGTTTAGAATCACACAACAACTATCAAAGCATTTACTTAAAGCCAACAAAGTTTAACAAGTAAACTCGAATTATCACAATTAAACTGAGATAATAAATTACCAAACAGCCTAAGCATGCCAAAAACACAAAAGTTTGGAGGCACAAAGGTACGCCGAGGCAGAGCCGCACGACACATTGATTTATCTGAGCTTTAAATCCTCACTGCTTGTCCGGAGGACATTGGCGGAACTGGCACAGTCATGATGATTGACACTTAACTGAACCAATAAGAAACCTAAAGCCTGGTTTATACTTCTGCGTCAAGTGACCGGCGTAACCCACGGCGCATGCAACACCCGTAGCTGTGCATTTATACTTCTGCATGCTGTCTCTGTTGGTCTGCATTAACACTTCCGAAACTCTAGTTGGCAGTGAGGTGTAAATGTTCCTCTGTTTCGAGTTTCTTCGATGTTGTTTTGCTTTTCCTGAACACTTCCTGAATGTACAAGTGGCTCAAACTCGCTCATTTTGAGGCAGGAACCGGCGGACGTGCAACAACTTTAACTATGAGGTAAACTCAAAACAAAACTTTCCATCCGGAGCTCCTTCACGGGACTCCACACTTGTAAACAATCGCTCCATCAGGCTCGCACCATTCGCGCGGCTCTCGGTCCCGCCCAGACTCGTCAGCGCTACCAAGCCGACCAATCACAGAGCTTGCGCTACGCGTCGTTGCGACGTGTAGTTACATTTTTTGAGAGGTGCACGTCAGCGACGCCGACGGCCACGGCGAAGGGCTATGCGTCAGCGCCGTAGCATACGCCGCCGTTTGACGCAGAAGTATAAATCAGCCTTAAGAGTGGAGTGAGAAGCAGAGAGAGGAGGATGAGGAAAATAAATACACAAAAAAAACTAACATGGAACAAAACGGTGGAATACCGCAAATTCCTAGTATGCAGTAAGTTACTGTAAAAGCTTCAAAATGACCCACGATGCAGTGTATATTACAGTAGTGAACTGTAAAGAATGTATGTGGTATTCTACAGAGCGTTTTGGAGTATATAACAGTTGTTATAGTAAATGATTTTGCAGTAAGTAATAGTATATAAAATTTGGCCAACAGTGTAAATAAGCATGTTTTAAAGCTGGCTCTCTAAAATGTGATGAAGAAACTAGACTCTCTTTTTTTAATTCAGAAAAAATGTTAGTATATGCACAACTGAAGCTAGTTTAGGATAATTACTTAAGTTTCCCTCATCTAGAATGATTAATTGTATGCCTTGTTTTGCAAATCCTCTTCAGGCAACCGCCTCACTGTGTCCCAGAGACCTACAGCAATGCCACGTCCTGGTACAAGATTTTCACCACAGCACGAGACTCGGACACCAAGTACACGCAGGAGTACAACCCGTTCTGGTGTTACAAAGGTGCCATTGGGAAGGTGTATCACACGCTCAATCCCAAACTCACTGTCATCGTTCCAGATGTGAGTGTTTCGGCATCTGATGGTGATTAAAAAAAAGCTCTTGTTGATGCACAGTAGTAATGGATAGAAGACAGAACACCCTAGCAACCTTTAAACACTATATATAATGTCCTGAAAACAGCAACAGCACACTAGCATAGTGCAGACAAAAACTTTTTCACTTGTTGGTGTGTTTTGTGACCGCCATGAGATACCTGGAGTTACCTGCACTGTGCCACCTAGTGGCCAGGAGATATGTAAAACGGCTAGTCAAACTGTCAAAGGTTGTCCTTTTTTCTCTATGGGTCATTTTAAATATTGTCATAAAATTCTTTATTTAACATTTCTATAAATAAAGTTAAAGGTTAGCGCCATCTTGTGGTCAAAATTGTAATATAAATTTTTAAATGGTAATAGCTTTTTATTGCCATTATACTGGTTTGGATGGATTCCTTGATGCTAAAGGTTTTGAATTTTGTGTTAATAGATTAAACCACTTTTGTTTACCACATCAAAGCTTGATGTCAAACTGAGACCATATTTCTGCAAAGTTTTAATATTATTGCACCACATTGTATGTGTCTTTATCAACTGATATCAGGTATTATTAATGACAAGTGATAAATCACAGTGCTAATTCATGTTAACATGATTCAAGTCACTTTGACTTATTTTGAAGCTTATTCCGAGCCAACATTTATATAATTTATATATGTCTTAATTTTGGTCAGTGCCCTGATTCCGATATCAATATAATATTTAACAGCTTCAGAAAAACTAGCTGGAACTCCCGTTACACCTATACAAAGTCTTAAATTATTGTCCCAGTCCATGAAACCTCTGCCTATAAAACAATGTTTTTAAAATTAAACTAGTACACTATTTGTATTTAGCATCCATACAAACAAGAATGTGAAATAAACCATTAAAAACTTGTCTTTCACATTTTCTTTAACTTAAAACTGTAAAATAGCCTGATTATTCTTAGACTGGAATAACAAAAAGACTTCTTCAGCCAGGATAAAAAAGTGAGTTACATGAAAGAATGAAGACTAAGCAAAAAAAAAAAAAAAAAAACATTATGCATGGACTTCTCTTTTGCTCTTGTGCTGATGTTTCAGATACAATTTGGCTTTAACATTTTATGGTACCTCATTTTCTAACTCTCAAAGTATGACTACAGACTTCAGTTCCTTCAATCGATAATGAAAAAAAATTGAGATATAGTAGCAGCATTTTCTGCTTGCTTTTCAAACAATGTTGAGTGGATTCTTAAACAATGCTGTTTGGCCTTTGTATTCTTGCGATCAACAGAAATGTATGTGATTGACCACTGAATAGGCTTACATGGAAATGAACACACTGCGTAATGAAGCACCTTTATTGCGTATACATTTCAATTGCTGTTTGTAGCTTCACCGACAAAAGTGCACATGCAGTGGAGAACCCCATCGATGAGCGTGCGTGCATGGTGCAATCAAAATTCAAATATACCCTAGCATTTAGCGTCCATAAGGAAACGGGAGCATTGGAAGCAGTCTGAGCACACAGTTAAAGTCAGAATATTAAACCCCGTTTATTTTTTCCCCCGATTTCTGTTTAATGGAGAGATTTTTTCCAACACATTTCTAAACATAACAGTTCTAATAACTAATTTCTAATAACTGATTTCTTTGATCTTTGCCATGATGATATTTTACTAGACAGGGTTCAATGCTAATGATTTTTTATACGGGTCCGATCGGGCCATTGATTGAGATTTTTACTTGCCCTGTCAAAAATTTCACTAGCCCCACCAAAAAAATTAAAAAGTTAATAGCTATTTCTTAGCCACATATTTTAAATAGTGGCAAAATTATGCCTGTGAATCTAGAATTTAAACATTTTAAATATGTTAATAAATGTATAATGAGCAAAATTCAAGATTTTATGCAAATGAAAGAGCAGTTTGAAAAATGTGCTGGTGTTTTAATGCAATTCTAAATAACTTTTTATAAAAATGGCTTGCCAAACTGACAACTGTTTTTTTTTTTTGTTCTTTTTTTCAGTTTCTTAATTTTGTACCCATGTTATGGTCTGCTTCTAAGCCTTTAAAAACAGACGTTTTCTTTTAGCCTCATTGTTTAATTTTGCCGCCATGTTGCCATCTTTTCACTGTACTGGTTGTTACCAGGTTACAAAAAAAACATTATCATCGTTACTGGCCGATAGGGGCCAGTAACAATCCTGTCTACTGTCCCGAGTGACTTTCACGGTGGCCCCGGGCCACCGGGCAGTCCTTATTGTTGAGCCCTGCTAGATATTTTTCAAGACACTAGTATTCAGCTTAAAGTGACATTTAAAGGCTTAACCAGGTTAATAAGGTTAACTAGGCAGGTTAAGGTAATTAGGCAATTTATTGTACAACTATGGTTTGTTCTGTAGACCATTGAAAAAAAACATATCTTAAAGGGGCTAATAATATTGACCTTAAAATGTTTTTCAAAAAAAAATTAAACACTGCTTTTATTTTAGCAGAAATAAAAATAGTATCAGGCATACTGTGCAAAATTCTGACAGCTGATCATCATTCATGGTCAGATCCTATAATTTTTGAGGAAATATTAGAAATGTCCTTAAAAATCATATCACAAAAAAATAAAAAATAAAATTTACATTGAATTATTGCCCAGCCCTGCTGAATATTAAATGTTTGGTTCTTTTATAATTATTACATTATTATTTAGTTATTTTTGTCTTTGTATTTTTTTTTGTTACATTCTTTGTTGTACTTGGCCACTTAATTGCTGCTTGCAGCTATTTTTTTCCTATCCATGTGCTGGAGCCTTTTTTCAAAACTTACTTTAATTTATTTTAATAATTAATATTCAGTGCCTTTAAAGGCAACACAGATACTTATACTGGAACAGTGGTTAGTCCTAATAAAGTAAGGAATAAGCAGAAGGAATGTGGGAGAATGAATTAAAATTCATGTTTACATTTTTATTTGTATGCTGTTTTTTCTCTCCTCTGATATACCGGTACAAAATGTTATATATAGTATCAACCTAATCAGATTGAAGTCAATGAATTGATGATTATTTAGACTGATTAAAATATATCATTAATATACCCTAAACAGTTATAATTTGTACAGGAATCTTGTAGATGTGTATTTGAAATGAGAAGATTGGATTGTCATATATTCTGATATACCAGAATTGAAAGTGCGCTCCTTTTTCTTTGATAGGACGATCGATCACTCATTAACCTGCACCTCATGCACACCAGCTACTTCCTGTTCGTGATGGTCATCACGATGTTCTGCTATGCAGTCATCAAGGGCAGACCTGGCAAAGTTCGACAGAACAACCCTGATTTCTGTCAAGAAAAGGTGCGACTGAGGTGATCTGTGTGAATAATCTACTATTTAAAGCCTGGCTGAAAAGCCGTCTGGTTGCTGCTTCAGTTACATAAGAGCTCACATCAGGCGTACACCCTGGTTGGATACTAAAAGTGCCTGTTATTTTCCCACAGGTGGCCTTGTCAGCAGGATAAACGGGGTCAGAGGTGAACACCTGAAGCATATCGGAAAGGGAAGTGAGAATACTACATGTTGCCTACTGAACCCAGGAGAAGGGTGCAAAAAACAAAAACAAAACACAAAAAATGCTCTGTGAATGAATTTCTGCAATGTTGGGTCACTCCAACCAAAGACTTTTAAGTGCCTGTATCTACTGTGTAAATAATCATAAAGGACTCGAGTACAGAAGCAGTCTGCCTGAGCTTCCCCCTGCACCCTGTGCCATCCTGTAAATGTTCAGTATATCCAGTATCTCAAGAGGACGGCGAGCGATTGACTAGAGATGTTCAGATGGGGGAACATCACCTCCGTTCCTTTGATCCTTTCGCTCTTTGTGTTCTCACAAATATCGATCCTATTTCCTATGACCTTTGATTTCTTTGGAGGCGACCTTTGCCTTGTCATTCCTCTCATGTCTTTTGTCTTAACCGACCCTTTCGTATGCGTGTCCATTGCAGATTCTGCATTGGCTTTTCTCTTTGAGGATGCGTGGATCTTCTACCATAATCACGCTGCCGGTCAGGATCTTGGGGTGATTTCCTTCAGAGATGACAGTAGGCATCATTATGTTGTGTTCTTTTATCTTCACGACCCTATCTGTGAACATCTAAATAAATGCCTGGGTGAAAGTCGGATAGATGGGAATAAAAATGAGAAACGCCATGGTGTTTGTAAGTGGAGATGAAATGCCTCTCTTTTGGATTGATGGGTTTGCGTGTTGAAATATGTGGATTCATGGCCTTGGGCTTCATGTCTCATTTACTGTATGTCCATGTCTGTTTGTGGACACTTTAAATGAATGTATTTGTAAAAAAACAGGCAAATTAACAGCAGCGATGCAGCATCGTTCTCTTGTACATTTAACATTTTGAAGTTTAAACGATGAACATCATTATTGTAGAATTTTTTTTTTTACATTTTTTTTTTGTCATCACATTACCTAGTTTTGTTTTTACTTTATTCATTTGTCAACCATCCATTATTTCCTGCCTTTTCTTTATTTCCATTCATGCCTAATTTGATCCGTAATGCCTTTTTTTTGTGCAATATTTGACCTTTCATTTTGCCTTTATTTTAAAGGGATAGTTCATCCAAAATCAAGATATTTCTACACAAAAGGAGATATTTTTATAAATGCTGCTTGCTTAAACTCATTGACTTCTGTATAGAAAAAATACTATAGACGTCTACAGCATTCTTCGAAATATCTTCTTTTGCATTTAAAAGAAGAAAGAAACTCAGAAAGCACTTAATGATGAGTTCATTTACATTTTTCGGGTGAACTATCCCTTTAATGTCTTATCATGCGTCATATCCTGTATTCATGCATGAAACGCATTTCTTCCTCTCCATCCTGTGTAGTTCATGCTCCTATTTAGTGTTGCGTTGAATTTTTGTCCTTTTCCACTTACACAGTTTAACATATAACAAATTTTCCCATCATGCCTTGCTTAATTACAGCTGTTTGAAATCACATCAGTAACAATTCATCAGCTTTCCCGCTCTTCTTCTTTTTCTCTATTTTAAAGGGGTAGTTCACCCAAAAATAAAGAAGTAATTTTTTTTTTATTCTTTACAGAAAGGAGATATCTTGAAAAATGCTGCTTGCTGAAACTCATTGACTTCTATAGTATGGACAAAATACTACGTCTACAGCATTCTTCGAAATGTCTTCTTTTGAATACAAAAGAAGAAGGAAACGCAGAAAGCACCTAATGATGAGTTCATTTACATTTTTGGGTGAACTGTCTCGTTAATATCTTCAAATCATGCGTCATAAACTCTATTTATGCATGAAATACATTACTTCCTCTCCATCCTGTCTAGTTCATGCTCCTTTTTAGTTTTAGTCCTTTTCCACTTACGAGTAACCCGTTTTCCCATCATGCCTTGTTTAATTAACTGCATCGGTCACAATTCATCAGCTCTCCCACTTTTCTTCATTTCCCCCCTGTCTTAAAGCCCATAACAAACAAGCGTCCAACCACTAATGTGCCTTTGCACTGTGTCACCCATGCTCATCACATTGTCTCTTATGTCTTTCGTCTTCGCTTCAACCGGCTTTATGCATTTTGAATAGACTAAATGCATCCGCTTGGGTATTTTATGTCAGTCTCAGAGTCAAATCTGCAGTAATGGCTGTGGAAGAGTGCGATTCAGTTGCTTTATTTTGCTGATGATTAGGAAAGTACACCTCAGATCAGTTTATTGATCAGATCCATTATCTATAAGAGGTTTTAAAATATTTAAAGGTGGAAAATATAACATTTTTGCATTGAGCGACATGTTAAAGCTGGTTCCCATGTTGCCAAGGAATAAAATATATAGATATAAAAATATAAGTGTGACTTTTACTCAATTCGATCTTTTTTATTTAGTTTTTTACAATTACAATTGCAAAATAAGAAACTTACATCTGATTTGCAGCTTTCAAACTTTTCTCTTGACAATATTTTTGGCCATTTTTTTTTTTTATTTGAACTTCAGACGTTTTTACAAAGTTTTTTTTCTCATATTATACGTTTATTTTTACAGTTGTGATTTGTTTTTGGACATCCAACTATATAAATAATAATGCGTTTTTCTGTTTTTCAAACTATACACAAAATAATTGCACATTTATATCTTGAAATTTTAACTTTTACCTTATAATTGCAAGTTTCTACTTTAAAATCAATTAAAAAAATAGTTTTTTTCTATTTCAAATTATAAACGTAATTGCGAGTTTACATCTTGCGGTTCAAGTTTTTTTTTGCGCAGTTAGCAATTATAATCCAGAATTTTAATACCGAATTTACATCTTTTAAATGTCCTGTTTTTTTCACAACAAGATACAATTTATCTATTTGAAATTATGAGTTGCGTATTGCAATTCATAAAAAAAAATCCATAACTTTACACATGTGTACATCACCACTGAAAATAATAAACTTGAACATGCAAGTTTACGTTTTCCAGTTTCACTTTAACAATTGTGCATTCCTCAGTATTATCTCATAATCAGTTTTTACATCCATTAAGTTTGTTACTTTCCACGCTTTTTTCCGCTATCGTGTTTATCTCAGATGAAAATTATACATTTGAAATTGTGAGTTCCGTATTGGAATTTTGTAATTTAAATAAATAAATCCAGTATGTTTTACATGTATACGTCACAGTTGAAAATAAGAAACATGTACATGCAAATTAAAAATTTCCAGTTTCACTTTAACAATTGTGCATTCCTTAAATTTATAAATTAATCTCATAATCAGTTATTTTTATAATTTTTTCTTCTTTTCTTTCTTTAAATACTAACTATTTTATTTTATTTTGATATAAAAATCAAATTTTCAAAAGTCACACTATATATATATATATATATATATATATATATATATATATATATATATATATATATATATATATATGTATATGTATATGTGTATATATATATATATATATATATATATATATATATATATATATATATATATATATATATTCTCTGGTGGAAATGAGCTTCCATGTCAAGCAGCCTGTTTTGAAACCTCTTTCAAAAGCAATACGTTGCATTTGAGGTGTTTGTTTGTTTGCTTGACTGATCCATTGATCCTGTGCTTCTCTGCTCTTTTTTTGTAGTTTAGTCCAACTACATTTGCTCACGTCTAGTTGAGTTTTGGAATGGTGAGATGAGATCAAACCATTGTGACTGCAGAAGGAACCTTTCTGAAAGTAAAAGCATTCTTCATAACTGCAGCTAATGCATAATTTCTGTGATCATTAAAGTTGGCCTTTCAGTGTTGCTGGAGGACAATGGAAAACGATGACGAATTCCAAGGATGCTGCCTGATGCTCAGATCATATTGATCTTTTCCCCTTGTCCTTCCTTTGGGCTCGTAGCATTCGAGTGAAGTGTATTTGTAAGTGGTAGAAGGTCCTCTTTTTATTTTTGTCTGATTTCGCGGTGTTTCCTCGTGTCGGCGAGAGGCGTCGCGAGCCCTTTGACTCGTCATGATGCATGATTGTAAATGTTCTACCTGCTGACCTGTTTGAATGAGGACAATCCCTCTGTTTTCGTTCTGTTTGTAAGATATTGTAGGCACATGCTTTGCTGAATAAAACCTGAGATAACACTGACTTCTTGTCTTGGGTGATTTATCTTCAGGGTTTATGCAGGGTCTTAAAATAAATAAATAAATAAAAGTCTTAAAGGTGCTGTATGTTACGGGTGGGAATCATAGGTAAAGATTTTGTCACAGTCACCAGCAAGCTAGTCCATACAGATCGCTAGAAAACTACAATTCTGCCACCAAAAGAACTACAAAATATGTAATGCACCTCGCACACACCTGTTACGGTTTTCTGATGACTACACAAAGTTAAAAAAACTAATAAAGGACTCATTACACAGACTATTTATACACCACATTTGCGCGCACACACACACATGGCTGAGTCTTGTGAACCTTACAATGCGTTTCCCTTGCCTTGCTGTGTTTGACCTTTGCTTTGTTTCTTTATGTAGTTTGCCACCTGAACCGAACATTTTACCTACACATTTTGGATTACTCTGCATACACCTGTTTGTTCCTGTTTTGACCCTTGCTTGCTAGACGATTCGAGATATTGAGTTTTCCTATAAAAATTGGGTTCGCCTATAGGACCCTGATTGATCCTGTTGTTTCCCTGGAGTTGTAATCGGTCTTTAGTTCTTGATTATCAAGTCTAGTATCACAACTGTTCTGTGAAATCATGTTATAGTTTATATAATATAAAAAGCATAATAATGAACATTTCATTTCACCATTATAAGGACATTTATAACCGTTATACCTGTACATAGACCCTTTCATATGCTGATGTATAATTAAAGGAATGGGTTATGAAGTTGAGCATTTATATTTCATACTTTTTAGTTTTAGCCTATGTGCTAGCGTTTTCATACATCTACCATTAGCCACAGCTACAACAAGCTAATGCAGCTCTGATTAGCCACAGAACAAGGTATCACAACATAGATAAATACATTAGATGTCGCCTACCTTGTTGTTGTCTATTGGAAGGAATGCGTCAATAGAGCCGCCATTTTAGTACAGGTTAGCGCTCCTTTGAAATGAATGTGGGACCAAGCTGCAGTGGAAGACTGTGGCCATCCAGAGACAGAGAAATACACGTGTATACACACACACACACACACACACAAATATATATATATATATATATATATATATATATATATATATATATTCGTTTGTGAATGAATCTTCTTTATGAATGACTCGTCCACCTAGCCGACAATAATACAAGTTTCTGGCACTGCAGCATCTCGTTGTCGTATTTTTTTTGCATTATTTGTTGATTTTATTTAATAAAACTAGCATAAGGCGAGTGTTTAGTCCGAGTTGGTGCTACTTTGCCTTATGGTGAATGCAGTAAGTTACTGCATTATCATCAATAGCGCTACTTGTTTAGCAGGAAAGTTCATAACATACAACAATGTAAAAAATTCAATCTTACCTATGAAATGTTCTGTCTTTGTGCTTTGTTTTCTTTGTTTGCTTGTTATTACACCTGTAGACGGCACTAAAGTCCAGCATCTTCATGTAGTAACACTGTCTTGGCTAGTGCAGTTGAATGACACTTGTCCTGGGAGCACTGTACAAATATGGCGGCGCTATTGACGCATGCTTATGTGTATATATCTATGGTATCACAATATTAGTTTTTGATCAAGAATTCTCCTCAGACGACCCCTTGGGGTCTTAATTGGACTTGATTTTTCACTACACCGTTTGTCACAGCTGCCCTCCTTCCACCTCTTTTTGTTAAGTGCTTAACTGTGCCTTTCGTTTTCAGGAGGGCTAATACTTCTGAAACTGTATACATAAATGTTTGTGATGTCTAGTACAAATATATTTTGCTGCTTTGCAACTACAGTTGAGACCAACATTCATAATGGCCTGAAATTTCAATTGATCTCTGTGAAACCTCTATCTATCTCTATTGTAATACTATTATACGACTTCAGTCTCGCAGATCACGGTTAATCAAAAACTGTGTAACCTCTATAAATGGGTAATGAGATACAAGGTATTGCCGGTTTGCTACAAGGAGAAAATGTGTTATAAAATGAAGGAGTTGGTTTTGTGTGGAAAGCGTGACGGATTCAGTCAGTTGTGTTAAAGGTCATCTGGGTGTAACTAATTGTATTTTCTGTCAATAACGGATTTGATGGCTACCGCAGCTGGCATACCTGAAAAAACGAGAGGTTGAGATTTCATTTTCTCCTTTATCACAGTTGAATAAGCAGCAGTAAACATTGTTTTTAATTTGTTCACTTTAACTGTCACACTTTTCATGATGAGTATATTCATTCCCCTATTTTCCTTCAGCTTAGTCCTGTATTCATCCGGGGTTGCCACAGCTGAATGAACCACCAACTATTCCAGAATATGTTTTACACAACGGGTGTCTTTTCAGTCGCAACCCAATACTGGTACAGGTGAGTATATTTTAGTTAATTATTTAGAAAAAAACAATTATTTTTCAAAGTAAAAATAAATAAAGAAATAAATCAAACAGTTTAACAAATTTATTATCTTCAATAAGTAATTATGAATTATAGATCATGTTAAATTGACTTAAAACTCAATTCCTGGAGGGCCGCAGCTCTGCGGGAATTGAGTTTGAGACCTATGATCTAAAGCACAAGCAGGCCGTGCCTCTGCACAGTTTAGCTTTACCCTAATTAAACACACCTGATCAAACTAATTGAGTCCTTCAGGGTTTTTTTGAAACCTACAGGTAAAGCTGCGGTCACATTAGAGTTTGAGCATGCGATATTCTGTAGTACAGTGCTGCAAAAAGGGGCGGGATGAAACAAGCTTATTAGGCATTTAAAAAAAGCGTGCGATTGCTCCATGTTTTTAATTTCTGTTCAAAGAGGTTATGTTTTGATCCTCGATTGTTCTCACGCAAGTGAATGTCAAGTGATGTAATTTCGCAGGTCAGCGTTTACCAAGCTTGAACCAGTGAAACTTGACGCATGACCCTGTGTTTCCGGTCTGACTCATTCGTGTGCGTATGAATGGAAGTCTATGGGAGAAAAAGCCTAGTATGACCGCAGCTAGATTCAGTCTCCAATATAGTTATAATTACTTTAAATTGAAGTGAGTTTGACTATATACTTACTTTTATATTTATTATACCAGAAATAGGTATTTATTTATTTATTTGCAGTTATAAATTAAACAATATTCAGGATTTACACTTACACCTCAGAAGAGATACACTGCAGCTTGTTGTCTTTGTTTTTAAAATGAACCTCGAAGAAAAACTACCACACAAACAGCTGGCAGAAAAAAATAACCTGTCAGCAGCACAGACGCCAGTTTTGTGAATACGTTAGTGCAGGACTGTCACATACCGCCCACAAAGGAATTTAATCTGACCTGAAAGATGATTTGAACATCAATATAAAATGAATTAAAACCTTATTTAAAATATTAAATAAGATGTATTTGCTACAGCATTTTGTCCGCAACAGACAGCTTAGGATGGAAAAATAGTAGTACATTTTATCTGATTTTACGTGATTCAAACTTTAAAAATGAAACCAAAGAGATGGTTGTTTCCTCGTGAGATCACCTCAGTGTCCAGTGCTTCCCACAGGTTTAAAATATACTTGCAGTGTTAGCCGGATTGAAAAACACCTTTTTCCCCACAGCACATAAATGGTCAACTACGTGCAACAAACCAAAAATAATGTGATTTTTAATTTGATTTTTATTTATTATGACACTGTTATACACCTTTTCTTTTCACTGAGTTAAAGTTATTTTAAAAAGGCTGTTTAAATAATAGAAATCCACTAATTCTCTTACTTTTATGCTATTTAGGAGCCACGTGCACCAACTGACAGGTTAAGGGTGCTCTCTCTCTCTCTCTCTCTCTCTCTCTCTCTCTCTCTCTCTCTCTCTCTCTCTCTCTCTCTCTCTCTCTCTCTCTTTAAAGTTGCTATATTGGTATGACATTTACAGTATTGTCAAAGCACTTTAGATATGTATAAAGTATGTAATTTATTAACATCACTAAATTAAGAAAATATACAGCAAATAAAAAATAAATTTAAGAAAAAAATTCATAAAAATAGACATTATTGCTACAAATTATAATAACTACTTGAATAAAAAGTGTAGATTATTTAAATTAAGCAAATTAGTTGATTTGCCATTTCTAATGGTGTACATATTTTGCATTTAATGTTTCTCTCGTGGCTGTGCGCGCACAGTCATCTGCAAAATGGTAATGCAGAAACGCATACAAATAATGGAAACTTGAGAAAGTAAAACCTGAATCCTGGACATTTAAGGAGATTCATAAACTACGGTCGGATGCATTTTGCCAGAAAAGGCGTTTCTGTGGATCTGCAAAGCACGTGAGTTCCTTTGTGAGTGACAGATTGCCCACACAGAACCAGCAGTAGGAAACGTACAGCGCGTGAGAAGATTTTCCACTGGTTAATCATCCATGAAAGCTAATCATTCGTGATCGGATACAAAAAAAAAAAAAAAAATGTAAAAGGATGAGAATAATTGTATTATTTATGTGAACTCACCACCAAATATACCTGGGCGGCCCGCCCAAGTAAAGTCCATGTGTAGAAAGCACTGGTGAGGTATGAAAGGGTATAGATGTGGTCTTTCTCTCTGAGATGGCTGTCAAACTGACGCTGATTCAGACTTCTGGATCAGATGATATTAACAGTTTGCCATCCAGTGGACACAATTGGAACCGCAGTATTTTTTATTGAAATATTTCTGCTCACAGAATCATCCCGCGGGCCACATTAAATTAGTTTGCGGGCCTGATCCGGCCTGTGCGCCGTACATTTGACACCCATGCTCTAAGGGCTTATCGTAAGGTCTCTGTCGCCATCTTGTGAATGGACATTGTCAACCGTCTTTGCTCAATGACAGAGAGGGGTCTGGCTGCAGACCTGGTGCAGTGCAATCTGTGCTGCATCCATTGCTTTTTAATGGGCTCACCTAACCCCACCCCTAACCCTACCTGTCACAGTGACGTCACTCGCTCCATTTGAGTGCATTGTGTCTGACATTGCATCGCTAAGTGATGCAGTCTTAGCTTGCATCATAAAGGCTGCATCCAGATACTATTGCAATGACAGGCTAATGACCACCGACGCGTTCTATCTCCAAAATTATACATATTTAAAATAGGCACTATTCTTATAAATAAACTTCATAGTTGCAATCTAAACATCTACATTCTCGCCTAAATAAAAGCCTCAAAAGTACATTATGTTGTCCAACAGCTGCAAAATTGATCAAACTGTAGCGTGTCCTCTGCTTTGTTTCTGTATGTGGGCGGAGTAATTCACAAGGGTGAAGAGGCTAGACGAGGGCTGTCATTTACAGAATATCATCCAATCAGATTCAAGATCCAGACAGAACTGTTGTATAAATATATATAAAGTTTAATTAATTCTGCCTGCAGAAGGAGGATTTTTCTCTGATCTGGCTCTCAACTTAATTTGCCACTCCTGCCTTAAGGATAGGAGCATGCTATTGGTGACATTGCCTGCTGCTTCCTAACTGTGTTTTTCCCTCATACAGTTGTGTGTGTGCATTTTTTTTCTCCACAAGCTCCTGTTGCTTAGATACCCAGGAGAGACACTGGCCTTTTGGCAGGTAGTGACTCACAGATGAGACAGAGTTTTCAGTGTTTGCGTTTCAGTTTTTCCACGTTTGTTTGTCACTTTTTTAAATAAAAGACTTCAGGCACAGCATTTGATATTAATTTAGTTGCATGCGTCACAGCACCCGGTGACTGACTCAGGTTTTAATTCCATGTCCCACTTAAGAGAAAAGGCTATTCTCTGGAGCATCTGCCTTCTCTTATTGCAAATTAATTGCAGCAACACTCCTAAATTTAGACTTTATATTAATGAGAGCTAAATGCACGAGTTCTCAGTAACAGAGCTATGTGTGTTATCTATGCTAATGCTATGTATGTGTGTTGTTTTTGTAACTATTAAAAACATACACAGGAGTACTGTGCTAAAGTTTTAGGCCTACATTATATATGTTGGTTTACTAATAATAATAATAATAATAATAATATATATATATATATATATATATGTATATATATGTATATATATATATATATATATGTCACCCTTTAACACAAAACAAGTGACAATTGTAACTTTTTTTGTCATTTTTTTAAAATTGAGATTTAATTAAGGTGAATAACTTATATTTCAGTTGCTGTATGGTTTGTTAGAATAGGAGTTAGGTTAGAGTTTGAAATATGTTGGTTTAATTGTTTAAGACATGTTGGAGAGGGGCTGTTTCCGCACGATTGGTTCGGGTCAGGCGCGTCCGGCAAAACTTCTCCATCCAGGTGATGTCACGTAATGGGCCATATGCAAAAGGACATTTAATTATCAGACAGGCAGCCAGGGCTTCCGGTGAACTGTCATTCTATTACAAAATTGTCACAATTAAGATCAGATTTCTTTAAAAATCAGCAATCTTCACTGCCTGTTACCCACAATATGAAGTGGGTCTCCGATTGGACAAAAAACATTGCATTAAATTCCATTTCCCCCGCCATGTCTTTAAAATATGACAGTTTATTTTTATTTTGTACGCTTTCACCGTAAGTTTATCTTTGGCTTTAAAACTCTAGCTGCGCATAAAGGCTATTTACGACAAACGTGGAAAGGTGATGTGACACTCTCTACATGTATAACTATATACACTAGATTTCGCATACAGACCCCGAGCATGCGTCAATAGCGCCGCCATATTTGTACAGTCAACTATTGCACTAGTCAAGACAGTGTGTAGACGGGTGTAGTAACAAGCAAACAAAGAAAACAAAGCACAAAGAAAGAACATTTTATAGGTAAGATTTTGTTTTTTACGTTTTTGTATGTTATGAACTTTTGTGCTAAGTAACGTTATTGATGATAATACAGTCACTTACTGCATTCAACATAAGGCAAAGTAGCACCAACTCGGCCTATGCTAGTTTTATTAAATAAAATCAGCAAACAATGCAAAAGAACTATGACAGCGAGATGCTGCAGTGCCAGAATCTTGTATTATTGTCGGCTAAGTGGACGATTCGTTCATAACGGAGATTCATTCACAAACGAACCCCCCCCCCTCCGTCAGTATGAGAAGTGAAAGCAGGAGAGGGGTTGTGTTTCAGGACACGGATTAGATGAAGTTTTACAGGGAGGGTGGATAGTACATTTCCATACACACAAACACAAACTTTTTGTCAGGAATGTCTGTGCGATCACTGATCCATCAATGTAGAAAAGTGATATAAATTTATAATGTTCGTAATTAAAAATAATAATAAAAAATTGCATACTGCCCTCCAGGAAAACTCCCGATCATAGATTTATATATGTGTGTATTTCTCTGGCTCTGGATGGCTATAGTCCTCCACTGCAGCTTGGTCCCGCATTAATTTCAATGGAGCGCTACCCTGTACTAAAATGGCGGCTCTATTGACGCATTCCTTTCAATAGACAACAAGCGGGTAGTCGACATCTAATGTATAGATCTATGCTTTACATGTAGCGAAACCATATAGAGTGAAACAGACAGCAAAATGGGAAAATGTAAGTTTGCGTACTCCTGTTTGGAGAAAGACGAGTTTAAACAGTGGTTGAAAAAGAAAAAAAATAGCTTAAAAAGGCTAATAATTTTGACTTTAAAATGTTTTTTAAAGGCGACACAGTGGCGCAGTAGATAGTGCTGTCACCTCACAGCAAGAAGGTCGCTGGTTTGAGCCTCGGCTGGGTCAGTTGGCGTTTCTGTGTGGAGTTTGCATGTTCTCTCTGCGTTTGCGTGGGTTTCCTCTGGGTTTCCCCCACAGTCCAAAGACAGGCGGTACAGGTGAACTGGGTAGGCTAAATTGTCCATTATGTATGAGTGTGTGTGAACGAGTGTGTATGGGCTTTTCAGTAATGGGTTGCAGTTGGAAGGGCATCCGCTGCGTAAAAACATATACTGGATAAGTTGGTGGTTCATTCCGCTGTGGCGACCCCTGATTAATAAAGAGATTAAGCCGAAAAGAAAATGAATGAATGAATGAATGTTTTTTTTAAAATAAAAACTGCTTTTATTCTAGCATAAATAAAACAAATAAAACTTTATTTTGGTTAAAGTAACCTAAAAGTAATACGAAAGTAGTGTAACACATTTCTGAGATATTAATATTGTAATGTAATTACAAAAAAAAAAAAAAAAACAAATGACAGCAATATAATGTATTTTGCATTATATTATATTTACATTACATTTTTACATTTACGTTTTGTCTGTAACTTGCCCAACTTTGTTCGTAACATTGCTTATGTATCTCAGCACAAAGATTAGATATTAACAGGGAGTTGGAGTAAAATAGTCTATGAACAATTTAGTTAACAGCAGACATTAGAATTTGTGAATTTGTTCATTAGGATAATCTGTAAAATATTTTAAATAATTATACAATTTTATTTGTTATTGGTTTTCAATTTGAAAAGTTGCTAATACAAATAAAAACAGCTAATTGTAGATTTTTATTGTCTTGTCCCTTTTGAGAAATAGTAACTATTTATATGAGTACATTTCTAATGAGTGAATTTTTACTTTTACTTGAGTAGATTTATAGACATGTATTTTTTTTAAGTAACTTCTTTTACTTGAGTAGAATATTGTATTACTCTTTTCACAGACAAGGACTATGCAGTCATTTGTAAATGTAATTTGTTTGTACTCTTGAATTATCGTTAATTATTAATAGTAGCTACCATGACAAGTTTGGTAATGAACGTTATCTTGCGCGCCATAGAATTTCAGTACTTTTTACTAGTAATATGCCTACTTATGAACATAATTCAAATACGCTTTGTACTTTGATTAAAGTATATATTTTTAAAAGAAAAATGCTAGTTTGTCAACTCTACCACTGAATAATACTTCCTCTTTTTCTCCTTGGAAACCCGCTCATGCCACGTCTGTATACATGTATGTATGTGTGCGCGCACTTGCCCGGGAGGAAGCACGTGCTCAGAGCTCCAGCATCTGGTGGTGTTGTAGGAAGGTGTGACCTCAGATTTTTCCCTCAACACACACACACACACACACACACACACACACATTCTCACTTTCCAGAGTTATGATAAACTGCAGCTTGGCTGTCGTCCACTGCGGCCACCAAACCCCTATGTGCACGCGCTCACACAATAAACACCTCCTCACAGCATTATCCATGGGATTACCGTCTTTTCTGTGACACCTGCTGCCTTTTTGGGTTTGCACAGCTTTGATCCTGCCAATGGGGACTCGAGTCTGACAGCAGAGAAAGCGTTTGTGAAGAAAATAAATAAGTTCTGCTGGTAGTTTCTATTGGAAACATCACGTCTCAAGGTAAGGCGCGCACCATCTGTTTGTTACCATTTGTGTTGTTTGGTTTGAGAATAAAACGATTTATTTATTTATTTTGTTAGCAAAATCGACGTGACATTGTCAAATTTAAAGGTTTGCTTCAAATATTTGCTTCACATACATAAAAACGTACTTTCAGTATTGCATTGGATGACATGATGTTTAACCATGCGGGGTCAAACAAATGATTTTGGAGTTTTATTTGTAAACTAACTTTATTTTTCGTTCTTTAACCCTTAATCAAGTGCTGCAAAGCTGAGTTTGGTGTGTTTTTGAGTTTTTTTTTAGTTCACACACTTGTTTTAGAGTTATTACAAACATTCTAGAAAGTCTTTTTTTGGAAGTATCAGTACTTTCAATTGAGTAGACTATTGTATTACTCTTTCAACCTCTGACAAGGACTAACGTTCTGCTATAATTTGTTTATTTCATTTGTTTGTACTCTTGAATTATTGTTAAATATTAATATTACCTATCATGACAAGTTTTAGTAATGAACCTTATCATTATTTATTTTTTTATCCCTTTAACCCTTAACCAAGTGCTGTCAAGGTGAGTTTGCTGTGTTTTTGAGGTGTTTTGTAGTTCACACAAGTGTTTTAGAGTTATTACAAACATTATTGAAAGTCTAGCAAAACCTTTAAGTTTTATCATTCAAGGACTACTTTTTTTAAAAAAAAAAAAAAAAAAAAAAAAAAAAAAATATATATATATATATATATATATATATATATATATATATATATATATATATATATATATATACAATTCCATGAAAATGTCAACCTTATCATGAAAAAATAAACTTTTGACCAAAATAACAAAACCTATTTAAATTTGCTCATTAAGGTCTATATTTTATTGTAATGATGTGCTCTTGTTGAATTTTTAAGGAAATTGGTTTGTTTATCCATGAAATATGAGGATTGTGCCAATGGTAAATTTCATTATAATCCAACCACATTTCGTGCTTTAAAAAAAGGGATTAAAGACTCACCTTTTCCATGCTTTATGTTAACAGTAATCATTCTGCAGAAGGATTGGAGTCTGTAGTATAAATAATTACCCTTACTTTTTCATAACATTATTGCCCTTTTGATTTATGAGCTACATATTTAAGACATCACGCAGCTTCGGCCACGTGTCACGTCCGTAACGATTTAATGAAAAAGTTTATATTGTGGAATAAATATAATAACAAATAAAATGAAACTTTGTATACAAAGCCAAAATATGTCCATACTAATTATGATCGCCAACTCATCTCAGGTCTTTGCTTTTAACAACTACAATTTTGCGTTACGGACGTGACCATTTTTGAACTCCTTATTAATATAAGCCAATGACTAGCGCATATTTGTTCATTATGATGCTGCATTACAATTACTGACTTACATTACATAACATCCATATGTTATTTCAAGAACTGAACATTTCAGTTAGCTATAAACCATTTTAGTAACATTTCAAAAATAAATGGTTAATAAAGAGAACAACATTTTACATGCCATAATCTTGGCGCATAATCTTGGTGTTTTGGCGATGCAGCACCTTGTGTTGAAGCACTTGTTTCTTTTGTAGATAGGGTAACTGACCGTCAAAAAATAGATGAAATAGTTAAGATACAATTTATGCCAAACTAGGAATGCTGATTTCCATTCATTTTGCCAACAAACAACCGCTCGTTAAGCGATATTAACCGTTAACAGATTAATATCAAAATATTATTTAATAAAAAAATTGACGTGCCTATTTTGTCTGACACATTAAATATTGCATTTTAAAATACTGATTTAGGTTATTTTAACATGCGAACAGCATACAGAAGGAGCATCTTCACGCACCTACAGTGTTTTTTAGCAGCACAGAAAAACTGAATAAACTAACAAAAATAATAAAATAAATCCTGCTCTAGATCTTTTTCACTTAAATGACAAATTAAGATTACAAAACGAAAACATTGACTGAATGCTTTTTAAGAATCGGCATAGGCTGTTTGTCCAATCGTGTTTTTTTTTCTTCCGTCAATTAAAAAATATTAGGCTAGCTCAAATAGATTGCTTTATGGAGAAAATGCATTCAATTAATGCTCCGCTGTTATAATATTACAAAACCTGTCAACATTTTTAATAGAAGTCATTAGTTTAAAGATTATGTCTTAATTATAATTTATTAGCCTATTTCCTCTGTCTTACTTGCGGTTCATGTGCGCGCGCGCGCTATAGTGAAAGATAATGATGAACCATAAGGCTTTGAACCTATACTTTTTGTTAAATATAGGCTAAGGATATAACAATTTTGTTATTTACATATGATACTGTATTAATTTGCATACATGTTTTTTAAGCTGTAAAATGAAAGCATCAGTTTGGTGCGAAGTTATCCTAAAATATTTGGCTTTGTTTGATTTTCTAGATTAGGCTATGTATTCTATTTAAAATGTATATAAGAACTAATAATAACTGTTATTTTCCAAATGGAAAAAAAATTGGTTTGTTGGTTAGTCTGCACTAAATCATCAATATACCTAGTTGAGTTTATGACGCGGCTCCAGGCAGCACAGACGACCAGCATCAGCGCTGGTTCGTCAACTCCTGTGTCAACTCCTGTGTCAAACTGTGGCCAGAATATCATTCTTTCATTTTGCTTCTTTTGCAAAATACATCTGTAAGCACGTGTGTTTGCACGTGTTACTGTTCTGCTAGTTAACAAATATGTGTTGCTCATAGAGGCCGATCACAACGAACGCTCTTTTTCATTCCAGAGACGTGAGGTGCTCCGCAATGCATTTTATATTGACAAGAAAAAAAGGAGCACGGTGCTCTTTTGTATGTCACTATTGGTAACAACTGAATCAGCTGGTCTATTGTGCGCTAGTGTTGCTGTCAAGGTTGTCATAATTTAATTTTTAAAATAATATTATGAAATTCAAGATTTGTAAAGTCATACAACTTTGGATGACTTAAAAGAGCGACCACAAGTCTCTACTCCGTTATTAAAAAGTTCGCCGTATCTTGACAACACACTTTGTCACCTCAAAGGAAACCCCGCCTCTGCTTTCATTTGATTGAAGAATGAAAGACGCCAAGGTAACATGCTTTTCCTCTGGAGCTCACAAAGCGGGCAATGGCAAAACGCGAGGCGCACATGCAGGGCGCAAAATCAATAACCTCCATGCATTTGGTCTTTTCCCATTGCTCAAAATGCGCACGCCATGGGTCAGGCTGCAGGCACTTGCACAGGCCACAGCGGAGTTTTCATTTCATGCAGAGCATAAATATGTTTTTATTTTATTAATTAAATAACCATTTATAAAGATAAATTATCATAGCGATACAATTAATTTTCCAAGCCCTTTATCCAAAATCTAAGCACTTTCAAAGCTGGAAAGGCTATAGCCTACATTAAAATGAAAACATTTTCAAAGATTTCCAGCACCCGGCAAATGTGCTTGAGTGCTTATTAAAATTATTTTACAGGCGGCAAAATAAGAATAAAATCTTGATATTAATCTAAGCTTTTACTACATTATAGGAGTATTTAATTTGTTAGTAAATCGATAGCACCTGCAGCTGTAATGTCATTCAATATTTTACACAATCGGTTTTAAACTATAGCCTAAAAATATAAATATTATAGTCATCCATTGTACATGCCTGCAATTATGGCTATTTTTCACAAAATCTTTCATAATAAAGTTTTCTCTCTCATCCTGGTCCTCTGTTTAAATTTTTTCAACCTGTCCTGAAGTGACTGCCGACGAGAAAAAGAAAGCAAGCGCGAGTGGACAAATTAGACTATTTATTCAATCGACTAACACATTAACTAGAATAAACTAAAATAAACTTTGTCAAATATAATATTGCCATAACTGTGACACAACTAGATTTTGAATATTCGCCACGTAGACACGGTCTTGCGCACTAACAGTCGGGCAATGATTCAATTCAAGTTTGTCTGGAAAGGAGCCCGATAAACATAGGCCTATTATAGCTGATTATGTTTATTATCAATTCTATATTATTCAGAGAATAAAAGCACCATGTTAGCATGCACCGCTGTTTCCGAATTGAGTTTTGAACATTCGAACGTGCGTTAACCTTTAACAACACACATGCCATAATACGAATTAAATATAACAAGGAGATATCTATTTAAGTTTGATTAATTGTGCAACCTTACCATTCAGATGTCTCAGAGGTTAAAGTTTATTGGTTTACACACCCAACAGCTATCCACAAATAGGTCTTTTGTCAAGTTTTGAAAGCATTTCTCTGATTTTCATAATGTGTCAACTGTCAATTTCAGAGCAGTCACGTCCGTAACGAAGACAAGTCACGTCCGTAACGATAGTTTTCCCTCATTAATGCAAAAATGAAAAACTAAATAAAATGAATTATAAATGTCCCATGCAGAGCCAACCCTTATCCTTTTGACTGTTATATATATTTTTGGCTTCTGCGTTTTTATTCACAGAATTTTAACCAAGTATGTCAACTCACAAAACTCATGTCTTTTTTTTGTCACGTCCGTAACGCATTCATTTTGCCGTCATTTTAAATATAAAACACCTGCATAGACTGATATTTTTTTGATGCCTGAACTCCATGGTTAAGGGGTAATAAAAATATAAACAGATATTTCAATATAATGTTAACATATACATTCTCCGAGTATATACGTTTCATTTTTTTTCTGCAAATGTCACGTCCATAACGCTGGAATCAGCCATATATATATGGCTGATTCCAGCGTTATGGATGTGACATTTGCAGTAAAAATTCAAAACATAAATTCAGAGAAAGTATACGTTAACATTATATTGAACCATCTGTTTATATTTTCCAAAACAACTAACCACAGAGTTATGAGATCAAAAAAATTTAATCTGTGGACATTTTTATACTTTAAATGAGGAAAATAAACAAGCGTTATGGATGTGACAAAAAAAAGTCTGCGAGTTTACAGTATACAACATATTT